TATATATATATATACTTTTATATATAATATGTAAAACATCGTTTAGTGTGTTGGTTAATTTACGAGAAAACATATTCGTATCATTTTCAAGTACTTTTACATCGTTCCCTTGTGTCCTATGAACGTTACACGTATATAGGTTGTTTCATTTTAATAGTTCGTAAATATTAGATTTTTATGATACTAGAGAGAGAGAGAGAAAAAAAGAAAAAAGAAAAAAAAAGTTGGATTAACAAGGGGGAAAAAAAAAGTTTGATCGAAAAATTATGTTCAATCTACAAATTGTTTGAATATTATATGAAAAATACGAACAAACATTGTATATCTCAATGATAATCAATTATAAATAAATTATCGCGTATATTATGAATATCATTTTTTTATATAAATTGTTCATATGCAGTTTTATTTATACACATTTTCGCGTATAAAGAAAAATAATAATAATAATAATAAAAAGGGAGCTTCTCTCTTTCTCTTTCTCTCTCAATTTTGTTACATTAGTATCGTGTCACCTAGTGCGCATTTTTGCGTATCGGCATTTCCGTAAACTCTTTCACCGATAACGGAAACCTATGCACTGCTAACAATCGAATTCTCTCAATAGGATTTCGATGATATACGTTAGCTCGAGCGCAAGTGGCACGTCATGCTGTTTTGCTTTTCTCCTACACGAGAAACTAATCGTCCGAGCAACCACGAAGCTTTTATATCTCATTTAAAGTTCTACGAGTTTGATCGATTTTTCATCAAGATACTATACCCGAGTTGTTCAGTAAATTCCTAACGGTTTTCGATAAAATGAACAATGTTAATATTCTCTTATCAAATATCTACATACCCTATATATATCATATCTATATACGATATACCTGTGATTATATATATTTTACAATAGATTAAGAATTCGTCAAGAGAGAAAGAGAGAGAACAAAAAAAATGGGTATTTAAAATTTGATCTGTAAAATGTTCGATTAAAAATTGTTAACAAATTTTTACGAGGTAATCCAATGGATGATGATAGATAAATCCAATTTGAATAAATAAAAGCTTGTGTGTTCAATCGGGGAGTAAGAATTTTTCTTAAGGTTTCTTTAAACGTTAATCAAACAAAACAAAAAAAAAAGTGTACACAGGTGATAAAGGTAAAGCTAAAGGAATATATATATAGAATATTAGGAAATATGAACGATTTTTGTCTCGTAATAATTTCTATGTGCACGATACGAAAATAAAGAGATACTTTAATTAGATCGACGAACAAAAAAATCTCGTTGCCATCTCTCTCTCTCTCTCTCTCTTTCTCTCCCGCCAGCATTCTTCTTACATCGCGCATTGATCGTACGCGAAAGAATTAAAGAAACGGTTTCATGAAAAAAAAAAAAGTGGGTGGGAGGAAAGGGAGTGAAAAAAGGATGAAAAGAATAATTGGAAAAAAAAAAAAGAAATAATTCTCCCCGAGAAATGTGCGATAAAAAGTCGATATATCGATGATTATTTTGTGTATGTGGTGGCGGAGAGGGTTGAAGAGGACGGAGAGAAAGGCGCGAAATGAAAGAGGGAGAGATTTTTTTTTCTATCTTTTTCTCGTTTCGTCATAATTTTACGAGAGCGTAGGACGAAAAAGAATATTCGATAACGCGGGAAAAAGGTACACGTAGGTGGAAACGCGATATTATTTGGACTATGGAAGAAAAGAAGTCTCGTAACCGTGGCATTGAAAGACTATAATAAAGAGGAAAAAAATAAAGAGATTAAGGGAGAGAGGGGAAGGGAGAAGGGGGGAGGGTGTCGTTCGTTCGCTCACCAGTTGTTTTCCTACGGTGATAATAATCGCAATCGCTGCAGGTAGGCGGTGGCGGTGGCAAAAGTCTTGCTTGGCGATCACCGTCATCCAAAATCGTTGCACCATCAACGCAAACGTCCTTGTAACCTTCCGGAGGACTGAGTGTCTCCTGCTGACGCTCGGCTCCTTCACCTTGAACAACTGAGGAATCAGTGCGATTGTCGGGAACAATCGCCGGCAGCACTTCCTGCCGATCAGTCGAGTCTTTCGTTTCGAGTTCGGGTTCGAGTTCGACTTTGTGGTCTACAACATTGGATTCGAGTTCGCACGCTATCAATGCATCTGCATCATCCTTTTTATTACGAACATCTACCACAGGAGTAGCAGTTCGCGGAGGATGTTGCTGTTGTTGATAAATTTCTACATTGTTTGCATTGATATTGACGTTTACGTTAACGGCAGCAGTAGCGGCAGCATTAACAGCTGCCACGGAATCAACGACGACGACATCCTCCTCTTCCTCCACGTCATTATCGTCGTCTTCTTCTTCTTCTTCGTCAACCGCATCCTCATCTTCATCCTCGTCTTCGTCTTCCTCTTCGTCTGCCTCCCCATCGGCGCCACCATAACGACCATCCTCCGTAACGCCAAAATGTAAATTCAATTCAGCCCGGCACTCCTTGCAATTGCCCAAACGTATGAACTCGTGTTCCTGACAACAACAGTCGCAATCCTCCTCGTATTCGGCGCAACACTCCTCTTTAATAAGTATAATATAATCCGCGGCAAAGAATTCATTTAATTTTTCGTTAATTACAACGCGATTCTTACGAGTTTTACCCTTAGTCTGGCCGGGCTTCTTTAATAAAGACTTGAGGGTCTTCGTAGGCGCTTCCGCCGAATGCTTACTATTCCCGTGTTCCTTCATGGTCGTCGGTCGCCCCCGCGCGCGCCCGCACAACACCTTCTTATTCCGATATTCAATGGATTTTATTATTATTCGTAGGGGGGGGGGGCAAGAAAAAATAAAAAAAATAATTATCGTCGACTCGACTCGACTCAGCTCCAAATTTCTTGTTTTTAGCTAATACGGACGACTTTTTTCTCGAAGAAAAGTTTCATCGTCGATCGTACCAAGTGTATTATAAGAGGAATACAAAACGACATCCTCGGACGTCCTCGTAGGAGACAGCAACCGTGACGAAAGGTCTCCTTCCCTTCCCTTCCCTTCGCTTTTCCTCCTCCACCTCCTCGCGTGGCATCATCGCGGCGGCGCGTACTTGCCGCCGGAAAAAGCCGACGGCGGCCTTCCTCCTCCGCATCCCCTCGCACCCTACGCGTAGGGAGGGAGGTTTCCGCTCGATCGGACGGACGCCTACTCGTCGACCTCCATCATCCCTCTTCTTCAACCCTCCGACTTCTCTTCTCTTTTATTTTTCTCCCTCTCTTTTCTCTTTTCTTCTCTTCTCTATTTTCTTTTCTTTTTACTTTATCTCATTGTCAGAGGAACATTAGAATAATAGAACGACAGGTGTTGTTCCGCGTGCGCCGAAGAAGAATTAAAAAAAAAAAAAAAAAAAAAAAAAAAAAAAAAAAAAAAAAAAAAAAAATTTAATAAGTATTACANTTCTCTATTTTCTTTTCTTTTTACTTTATCTCATTGTCAGAGGAACATTAGAATAATAGAACGACAGGTGTTGTTCCGCGTGCGCCGAAGAAGAAAAAAAAAAAAAAAAAAAAAAAAAAAAGAAAAAAGAAAAAAGAAAGAAAAAGAAAAAAATGTTATTCCCCTCGTTACAAAAGTAGCGCCGGAGGTATTCGGCTTCCGGTAACGTCCTCGCGTTTATCGATCTCGCACCGCGAAGGAAACCTTGCCGCCGCTTCGATTTGTCTCACCCTCTTCCATCATCCTTCTTCCTTTCTTTTTCTTTTCTTTTATTATTATTTTTTTAATTTTTATTTTTTTTTAAACCCGTCAGTAGGAAAATATTAAATTGAAAATATACGACCGGAAAAACTTTTTCAATAAAAGCGTCTCGTCGCGCAAATGGTAGCGCCCGTACGCCGTAGTACGTTTACCACTCGTCGTCTCCTTTCCTCCTCCTCCTCCTCCACCTCCTCCTCCTCGTCGTCGTCTTCGTCGTCGTCGTGGTAGATACGTTCCGTTCGTGTCCGCACTAACGAGCTCTCCTCGTCGAGAAAGAACACAGAACGAGAGCTCGTCGTGCGCGCTCGCCGGTCAATGAATCGTTCCTCGCGAGATATCGAGATATAACACGACGATAGCATTCGGACATACTCGGCTATACTCGGCCAACTTGTTTCTACCCTTATCTACATTCAATGCAGTCGGCAAGGTAGACACTCTACATTACCGACTGCAAGTATTGTCATTTTCTTTTCTTTTTTCTTCTATAATTCGTCAATTCAAATGCTGCACTTTAGAAAAAGAATTTTGGTATGGAATTCGAACGTAACATTGCATTTGGCTTTTGTTACTCTCTTAAATGCGTTTATTAGGAAGTCAACGTTACATAGTTAGTCCTTATTCCCCATTGTAACGTATTTTTATCTTATTATCTCGATGACGAAGACACGAGCATTTTGGTTAAAAGCATTATATGTGTATATGTACCGTCATGGTTTTTGTCGCATGGAATGTCGATAGAAAACTGATTTCTTTTTTTTTTTGTCGAGCGCACTAATTTAAATGTTTAACAAACGTAGAAAAAAATGTCAATGCGTTGTTGTTGTTGTCGTCGTCGTAGTTGAAGAAACGGTAATACACGACAGAATTATCGCAAATTATACGCTCATGTATACATTTACGTGTAATCGTAGATATTTACAGATAACTAGAAAGCGATACGAGATGATTACTACATCTTTTTAATGTTACTACTAAATCGCATTCGCATCTTCTTATTTCACAGAATATACGCATGAACGAGATAAATATTAATGGTTATATGTTAAATAACAAATATTTCTTTGTTAGATAGATTGCCATATTATAAAGACCAATATTCTCATAGAGACCGTTAATAATAATAATTGAAAAGAAAAGAAGAAGATGAGAATTTCGTAAATGTTACAAACGTGTCGATTATTTATAAACGTATATTTCAACCATGTCCTGAGTAATATAGTTCTTTGTTTATGATTTGCTACACTCTTGTTATTATATTAAATATTTTTTTACATAAATATTTAAAAGTAAAAGACTTATATAATTGTTACGATTGGTTCTTAATATATTGCGGTAATCCTGCTATCTTAGTTTCTATACGAGTCTTTAACTTAATGTTTATATATAAATGCGTAAAAACTATGAATTTGTTGTTGTTTCACATAGATATACGATTTTTGAGCAAATTATTATTAATTATTTAAAATTATATATTTCGATTTGTTATCGAATAATATACTTGCGCGTTATCATGAATCGTAAGAGTAAAATGAAAACTTTTTAAATGGTAAAACTTGTAAGACTGATTACAATTAAAAAACAACAACAAATTTAAGTCATTATGCATCGCGCTAGATACTATTAAGATCCCTCAAACATTGAAAGTTTTTTTATTTGCGTAAAAATAAAGTTCATTGATGAAAAAAATACTGATGTAATTTACCAAACATTTAACTTTAAATAAAATTAGAATAACGTTAGTAGATAACATAATCTAATAAAAGAAAATGACAAAACGAAAAAAGATATAAAACTAATAATCATATGATATAGCTGGTAAGTCAGTTCTTTGTAATTATTTTTAAAGATTCTCGAAACAAGTGTAATATTCTCATAAAATTAATAATATAGTATTGAATATTAGAATATTCATATAATAATTATTGCACCGAGTATTAAAATATCAAACGAAAATATATTTTTTCATATTAATATTTGTTCATATCAAATAACATATTAAAATAAATTAGAAAAATTATTAGGAATTTAATACAAGTAGAAAGCTTTTAATTAAGAAAATGCTTTACGATTATTTTCTTTTATACAAATGACATCTATAATAATCGTCAATTTACTTCTTTGAAATTTGCCATACTTGTTTGTAATACTTATTAAATTTTTTTTTTTTTTTTTCCTTTAACGAGTGTAATGTCAAGTGCAAAATAGCAACATTACATTGAGTCGATTTGTAATTGTGGATTGCAACAACAAATGCGTAAATATCATCATCTGCGCAATTTTTTCTGAGACCATGAATTATTTACATTTAACAAATTAATACCTCTAATCAGCTTTACGTGGCTTACGCTTGCGAACATTCGGACTGCTGGTATCTGCTTTGGAATCCTTTTCTTTACTGTTCGTTTCAGTAACCTCCTCAGATTCTGAACCTTCTTCATCAATCAAATCATCTTTTACATTTTCGACGATCTCGTCATCTCCCGAACTTTTCTCTTGCAAAGCTGCACTACTTCCATCCTGTTGTTTTTTCTTTCCTTGAAGTTGCATAGGTTTAGGTGGATAAATTAAGTCGATGAGACATACAATGATCTATAAATATATATATAAATGTTGATTAAATATACGACAAAATAAAATAGCGCTTATATTGTAGATTAGATAATAAATTTAAATTACAAGGCCCAATAGTGCACCCAGAATAATAGTTGCCACTGCAAAGATCAAATAACTTCCCCATGTCGGTAATCCAAAATCTTCCATGAGATTGTTATGAATGCCCTACAAAAAAAAAATACGAACAATAAATAAAAATATCAAGATAAAAAATATAAAATAATAAATATCGTTAATTGAAGTAATCAAAGTAATCGCTCTAATTACCCTTAATACTTGTGACAATCTAAAGAATTGACTAAGGACAGACATGTGAATAGAAGTTGGACTTTTCCAACTGGGTATAGGATCAATCTTTTCCCAAGTTCTATCAGATACAAATTGAATAAGAGCTTCTTTATCTCTTGGACTTTTGTACTGTCTGAAGACGCCATCTACTACACTATAATATAATAATAATTAAATGACATTTCTAAAAAAATATCATTAACACAATTAAATGAAATAACTTACTGATAAATAGTAGGCAAAGCTGTAACCATAAAGCGTCCACTAAGTCCTGGTGAATCAGTTACATCTACTTTGCCAACATTTATATGAAGTTTTTCTTTCCAACTAGCTAAATGCTCCCATACTGGCTCCAGAGCTTTACAGGCTGGACACCATGGAGCATAACTATATAAAAAAAATAAATAAATAAAATCTCAATACCACAAATAAAAGCCCCTTTAAAAAGCAATCATTATGAGCCCATTTTCTACATTCAAAAGTTACAAGATAATGTAGAAATTTAATATACATAAGTTATCAAATTTAAAGCACAAATTTAACTGAGTCATAATTTTTATAATAATTTTCAATAGCATTCGATTAAATATAACAATAAATGTATAAATAAAATAAGATGTAATGTTGAAGCAACGCCGCATTTTCTACACGCCATCAATTTTGACGACTTCGTCATCCATAGTTTCTTTCAACTTACAATTCGACCATCCATTCTCCCCGAAGCATACGATCCCAATTTTCTTCATCGAGCTTTTCTACCAAAGATTCTTTAGCCAGTCGTTGATTATTAGCACTTACAACTCCTAATAATAGGAGATAAAAACATGCGATGTTAAAAACACGTCCCATCCCAACGTACGACATCTTACTTTACTAATATTCACCGGCACCCACTTTTCTGCGCGCCACTGACCATTAATAACTTTAAGTATAGATCCAATACAAACCTTATGATTTAGGTTTTAATTTAGAATCATAAGAATGAAACTTTAAAATGAATAACCAATCCAAAAGATGAATAAAATGATACGTATAAAAATTCATAGAAACTGACCAATAATGTAATCTTAATTTTAATTGGACATACTTTAAAGTTGGGTAATAGAAGAATTTAATATTGTTCATACGTGCATAATAATATATCGATGAGTATTCAAAGGAGAATACATAGTACATAATGTTTAATATATCTAGCGTACATTTATTCTTAAGAACTCGACCAATATTACCTTATTGGATTTGTTTATAATAAGTATGTTTAGAGTAATTTAGAATTGTCCAATATATGAGATATTGACAATATATGAGATGATTAAATAGTTTTAAACGAATACTTTTATAAAATACAATCGATATTGTATTGTTTGTATTGCGTCTTTATATTTTGGACAATATGAATTTAATTGAAAGTTGCTGGTGATGAGTGCATCCCTGTTGACAATGATACATAAATAGTGAATTTCAGGAGTATGAGATTGATCGAAATAATATTAATGAAATGTTGATTTGATTGCAACTATAGTTTTTTAAACTAATTCATGTATAAATATAAGAAGTATGTAGAACAAAATCTTTAAAATGTTCAACATCTTTTGTATTTATTCTATAGTGTACAAAATGATCTTTAAAAGTATTCATTTTCATAAACAACTTTTTAATTATCACATAATTAACAACTAATGCCTTACTTTCTTAATTTTATCTACTAACTTCTTATATATATCTATATGTAAGATCTATATAATTATATTTTTATAAATTTATTTTAATGTAAATTGATTTTTTTTAATTTTCTCAGATATAAAAACGATCAACGTATAATTGATAGTATGCATTAGATTTTAAATATTATGGCTAAACCGAATTACGTTTAATTTTAATTTATTTTTATATATGTATTTTTAAATTATATATTTCAGTTCATTGTAGTTTTTTTTTATCGTTGTTATTAGTTACATAGTTTATATTTACTTCCATTGCCCCTTGGGGTCTTTAAACTATTATGATATAGAAAATAATTGCGTCGTAAATTGATAAATACATTGGATTTTTGTATATAAAATTACAGATATATGTGAATTTTTTCTGGAAAACTTTCAAACATGTTAAACATAGTTGATCTTCCTGATATTGTGCTGGAAACTATTTTATCTAACCTCACCTATGATGAAATTTCTAAATACAGAATTGTAAGATACATATAAATATAGTTTTTTATATATTGTTTCATGTTCTTATCATTAAGCGATATAAAGTAAAAATTCTTAACTTACAGATATGTAAGCGATTTGATCGAATTTGTAGAAAACTACTAAATCGTGGCTTTAATCTTATGGAAAAATATCATGCTCAATGTCTGCGTGCAGTCAAAAGTCAATTACCACGCAGAGAATCAGAACGAAGAAGTCATCCTTTAGCACGTCATTGCGATATATTAACAGCAATAGAAACAAGAATATCAATGTTATCAATGACTTTTATCAAATATGTGGACTTAAACTTATGCTGTTTTATTCCCGGAAAAGTAAGTTGTTTTATTTAAATGATATGAGAAAGTTTAATGAATATAACAGCATATCAAACAATCCATAAGATTATTAAACCATTGTTATTATAATCTATAAAGTATCTCTAATGTCACAGGTAATCGATGAAATTTTTCGTGTTCTCCGTTTAATTCGTGACTCGAAAACACCACCCAGGGCACATGAAATATTGCAAGAATTACGTGATATTAGTAGTATGGCTATGGAACATTTTGATGAAAAAATTTTACCAGATTTAAAACATAGTATTTGTACATCCGTTGTTAGTAATGTGGGCTCTTACGAACTTCCTGGTGGAAGCTTAATGATTTCGCATCATACCGCAAGCTCGAATAGTGCTTCACTATCACATAGTTATAGTACAGAGAAACTAAATCAAACATTTAAGAAAATTTATAGTCGTACCAAAAGAAATAAATTTTCTGTAATGTATGCAAAATTTGAAATAACTAAAATGAAGTTGAGAATGAAAAAACAATTGATTCAAATGAGAGTCCAAAATTTAAAACTTCAAAAACAAGCGAAGAAAATTAATGACCAAGATATGCAGTTGGCAGAAATGAAAAAGCATTTGGAAGAATGGGAACAAAAAATGGGCGATTTAACTGCTGAATTGAGTAGGGCAAGAGAAGAAACACAGAAGCCTGATTCAATAGATTCTTGCAAAAGAAAACATATTGATATCTGCAATCAACGTGACTCAGACTCTCTTCAAACAAAGGAATTGGAAGCTAAAAAGCGTAAATTAATTGTAGAAAGAAAACCATCGAATGATGCAAAAGATGTGAAATTTAAAAAGTTTATATCAGGTCTTCTTGCAGGAAATGCACTAGAGGGATATCCATCTACTTCGTATTAAAATATTTTTTGTAGATAGTCAGGTCTTGTTCGAAGGCATATTTTTTTGCAATATTGTTACCTTTATACTGTGCATTTGGGGGGAATTATTATTTAATGAATATAATTTATGAATTAAATTTATATACATATTTACAAATTATACAAATTTGTTGAAAGTAGATAGTACAGTATTTCATAAATTTAATCATATCTCAGAGATATTCAAATATCGCGTATTAATACAAAAAAAAAAAAAAAAATTTAATCCTTCTATACTACATTCCTGGCATAGAATTAATATTGTTATAGATCAGATCAATAGTAATCATATTCCTTTTTTTGAAAAGTAAAAATGTGATATAAATTGTATTATATAGAAAAAAAATTGGATGGACTATAGATAACTTTAACATAGATGTAAGGAATAAATGTACATTTAAACTTTAAACAAAAATTATAAGGTTCCATGCTGAGATAAAATTCATATTAGGTATAGAATCTTTTATAAAAAATTATTCATCATAAATTATTTATAAATTAAATTTAGCTTAACTCAACTTGAAATTAGTCATTATATACTTTCCTCTGAATCTGAGTAATCTTTCTGCAACAGTAATTCTTCGTTAAATTCTTCTGAATTTTTTCTGTTAACAAATAGAGAATTTGATGACTTCTTATACAATATTGCATGTGCACTTTGTAAATAGCTTTGCTGTTTCTTTTTTATCTGTTCACGAGCATTGAATTTTCCAACTTCTGGTAAGACAAAATTATAAATCATATCTGCTATCATTTCTTCTTCTGCAAGATCTGTCATACTAACAGTTTTATTTAACATTAGTAAATTAGTATTTGCTGATATACATATATACATACTTCATATTTGATTATATATAGTATTAATATTTAAATTATACTGATGAATAATAAAATTGTGTGGTAACATACTTTCCCATTGTATTATTTGAAATTTCGTCCACATGATCAAAAAATTGTAAAATATGTTCTTCAGCATTCTGACATGATATTTCTTCAATTTCTTTCCTTATAATATCATCTAAGTAAATTTCTACAGTATCTTGATCTATTTTTATTATTTGTTGGAACATTTCATCACATTCTCTACGACGATTACGTTCAAGTTGTCGCCGTCCAGCTTCGGCTGCTTCACGCATTAATCTTTCTTTTTCAGCAAGTAATCCAAAAATATGTGCATTGCGTTCATCTTTTAATCTTATCAATTCCTTACATTAAAAATTATATAAGCAACACAATAATAATAAACAAATGGTGTAAAACGGATGAAATTAAAATCATTCTTACTTTACTTAAATAATCTAACATTCCGCATACAGTTGCTCCTTCCAAGGAATCAATAATTTCACATAACAATTCTTCTTGTAATAAACTATCACGTTGTTTCTGTTGAGTATCAAATATTTCTTGTTTTTCTATTTGCTGTACTTCATTATTATAATCCTTAATATCATGAGTGGATTGAAGTTCTTTAATTAATTCTCTACATCTATTTCTACCTTCAAACATCTACAAATGATTATATTATTCTTTTTCAATATTTAAAGTCTAAAGTTAAAGTAAGATTAAAATCTAAAATTTGTTTTTATAAGAGCCTGGATTATTTTTGTTTTTACTATTTGCTGCGTGTTTCTATAAAAAATAAATTTAGAATATATTTATTACAAAATAATACTAAATAAAAAATATCATATTAAATGCATGACTTTACCATACACTGGGTTGCTCTACCCCTAATTGTTTCTTGAATACACAATGCTGCTTGATCTATTAATGTATCTTTGCGTTCCTGAACTCTGTATGGTGTAGTTGGAAAAACAGGAATTTTAAATTTCTTTTTCATTATTATCGGTGTCTCTGGAGATATAATATTTAAGCGCATTGCTTTAAAATCCATATACAATGTTTTTAATTTATCATCAGTCCATCTTGTTTCACGTACACATAATTCAGTCGGTGATACAATTTTTGATTTCGGTTTTTTATAACTTGATAATTTAGTAGATATAAAATTAATATTTTCTATTCCTAAATAAAATATAATGCTCATATAAAAAAACATGAATTAAAATTACGACGCGTATAAAATAAGAGAATAAATTATTTAAAATTATGATCATACCTTCATAATTACTACTATCATTTATTGATGATTGCTTTTTCATTTTTCGTAATTTTTCTGGAGAATATTTTTCAACATCTAATTGTGATCTAAAGCATTCGGAGACACGATTAATATATGATTTGATAGTATCTTTTTTCTGAAGCTGGGATTTATCATGATGTAATTTATGTAACTTTCTCAAATCTCGTTTTAAATTTTGTCTAATAACTTTTATTTTTTCATCTCTATGGGTGCCTAAATTATTTTTCAAACGTTTAAAACGATTTTCTATCTTCTCGTTATGTTTAGATTCTTTCGAACGTGAAATCTTTTTCATTAATTGAAGACGCAAATCCATTATGCATTGTATTTCCTTTTCGAAAAAATAATAGATATTAAACATGTGCTATATAATTCTGTTATTCGTATAAATGTAAAAATAAATAAAATAATGTAATTACTGCATCTCTAAAAGCCCATTGCTCTTCTTCTAAAGCTTTTGTTATACATTTTCGTATTTTAATATTAGCTTCTGTATCCATTGGTGGAAGAAACATTTCCCAAGCTCTTTTCATTTTTGTTCTATTAATAATATCAGTTTCATGCATTCCTGCTGGTAATCCATGACCCCAAGTTAAATGAGTAACAGTTAGTACTTCTGGATTATGACCTAATTAAAAAATATAATTGTTTTAGTAATACACTATATTTATTTCTATGCTTAGTCATACCTGGATATATTTTGTATGGAGGCTCCCATGGTACAGTTTGCGTTTCACTTTCTCTATAATCTGTTTGTGTTTCTGCATTTTTAAATAACTTTGATTGCATCATTGAAATGCAATATTGCTGTTTCATATTTTTCAAAACATTGTCCAATACTTCAGTGTCATAACGTATATTTTTATTCTGTATTCTTGGAAAATACTGAAAAGCGTTGGATTCTTGAAAAGGATTACATTTTTGTTGAATTATAAGTTCAATTGGTTTACAATACGTAGCCATAGTTTTGTAATTTATATTATATGTTAAGTAACATAAGAAAAAACTATTCAGTAGGTCTTATTTGATTCACTGCCCACAAATACAGGAGAATTAATATGTATTGATTTAATCTTAATATTTTCACTTGATATATCAAATACAATTCAATAACTAATTATGAAAAAAACAGCAAAGAATCACGATGTATGCACTATAGAAGATAATGAACATATTGATCAAACAAGCAATAAATGATCGTGTTACCTTGGGTTTCTCTTTTTCATATATATAATAAGCTTAAACTAAAATAAATATAATTACAGTTTTAATACTATTAATAAAACATAAATATAAGAATATTAAAATAGAAGTATAATAATCAAAAATATTATATTTAATGTGGATTAATATGGAAATTTATTTATATTTATTACATTACAACAGTATTTATATTTCAGGAACTTGGCTTATAAAAATCATTTAGATTTATGCATATATTTAGTAATAATTAGGTTCATAAAATTTTCATTTTATATTAAATAAATAACAAATAATAAGAACAATTTGTGCTAATATGCCATACAGTATTTTATTTTACTGTAGTATGAATAAATTATCTATTCAAACAAGCAGATAGATTTATATATATAAAGATCTATTTTAGGGCATTTAGAGAGTATCAAGATTAATAAAATATGCAATTTTATCTGTAAAAATATAATAATGTATCATATCATTACAATATATTATCTTTAGATTTTAATGGCGCATGATATTTCAGTATAATCAGAATCAGATGTAACATTTATTCTCTGTGTATACTATAGGTAATATATTTCTTGTAAATAATAATTATTCTGATTAATACTTTATAATTATCTAAATTGTTCACATTGATACTTGTACTTAAGTTTCTTAATATCTCAGAAATTGTAATTTATTATTATATGTCACATAAGACATTTTTTTTTAAGTTTAAGTATTTCTATGTAACGGTCTAAAATATCCACTACCATATAATCCCAAATATTCTGACCAACTTTGCTTCGATGCAATGCTTTTGCATACTTGATTAGGTAACATATCTTCAGGACAAACACATTCTAATTTCATTCTATATACTGTCATTTGCCCAAGAGCAATAATAATATTCTCTTCTTTTATTGATTTTTCAAATAAATTGTAATTGTCGTCATGTTCATTTAAACATTCTTTAATGATATCTGCATTTTTTCTATGATGCATACTATTCTTTGCTGATACTTTATTTCTATATATACATTTTAAATCTTCTTGTGACAATGTAATAGATGTTTCTAACAATGGCGACCCAGAAGTTGTAAAAATTAAATCTACAGAATTTCCTTTCTTAGAATTTATAAAAGAAGGTAATAATATTCCACTTGATTGTTCTCTTTGTTTACTATAATTTATTGATTTATTTAATATATTATTTGATTTTTTTATTCTTTTATTTCTAACTTTTGACGAAAATAAATATTTGTTATCATTTATCACGTAATCTTTACTTGTTTTATCATTATTATTTACTTGTCTACGCTGCTCTCTTAAGTCACCTATCGGCAAATAATCATTATTTGGTTCATCTCCTTCATCATACTCTTTGATATTTTCTAAATTTTTATTTTTACGATATAAAGAATTGTCAGTATCTATATTTTCCATGTTACTCAGTTGAAAATTATTATCAAATCTGTTATCTCCTTCGAAGTTGGACTGATGATTTGCATATGTCATTTCAGGAGGCTTTTGATTATAATTAGCTGATTCTTCAAGTATATCCTCATCTCTGTTATGTTTAAATATTTCTCCTTTATCATAATCTTTATAAATTTTTGCAGTATCAATGTCTATTGTATCTTCGTAATGATATGATTCCAAATATTTATCAATTTCTTTTTCTATATCAACTGAATTATTTATATCATATTCTTCTGAATATAAAATTATTCCAGGTGGTTCAACGAGTTGACTCAAAGCTAATAGTTTAGTAGTCGTTGAATTCAATTTCATTTTACATAAATCAGTATGTGTTTGAAAATTTTCCTTTTTTGAAAATTGGTATGCTCCTTTAAAGTCTTTGTCGTGTAAGCAATTACCAAACCAATGTAAAAACCAATCATTGCCAAAACCATCAACAGTCACCGATAAACCTGATACTTGTTTGTTTAAAATATCTTCTATTGGTTTCTCTAGCAAAGGTTGTCCAGTATGTCCATCAATGATCATAGAAATTGTATAATAATATTTAGGAAATCCTTCATTTTCAACTTTATGTTTTATCATAAAATCTGGAATGTTATCATCATTATAATAACCAGGTATCGGACTGCTTAATATTTCAGAGTTAGGGACAGTGTAATTCCATATTGGATTAAATGTTAATCCATCATAAGCTATAATAGTAGAATCAAACATAGGTGCCACGATGTCTGCAATTCCATCCAACGTTATGTCTACCAAAACAAGAGGCAACAATGCTGCTTTTCCAGAGCTGTGATGCAACTCCTTTAGTTTCTAAATAAACATTAATTAATGTAATATATAATGTAATATCACAATATTACATATCAATGTATTTCATAGTATATTTATAATCAACTTACTAAGTTACCGTGCATGAAATTAGCACTAGATGCTATATACAATGTACCAGATTGCATTTGATTATTTGCTGTTAAAACAAATATATTTTCACCATCTGGATATACAATTGTCTGTGGTAATGAAAATAATTCTAGTTTTGGGGAATCAATGGTATATAGAATCTTTCCTTTCTTTCCTGATACAATAAGAATTTTACTTCTGCGTGATAAATCAGATTGAACAGTGTAGCCTGTTACAATAACATCACCAATACCATCTCTATCGGTATCAGTTATAAATTTTGCATCAAATATACGAAAAATTGTTGAATGTTCATCAGATAATTTATTATCTGATATTATCCATATCTTGATTCCTGTTTTTCCATTAATTGCATAAAGAACTCCACCTTCTACTGAAGCAATGCAATCATTAATTTTATCATTTGTAATATCCAGTCCACAGTCAATTGAAGAGATTCCATAAATGGGCCAATAAATCCAAAGTGTATCTCCTGTTTTTCCATCCAATGCTAATATTTGACCCAAGCAAGGTAGCGAATTTTCAATAAAATAATGACATTTTACAGTACTTTCTTCATTTGCACCTAAAAAGAAATAATATGTATCAATATCATGTCTTAAAAAAATAATTATATATCAATTATTATTACTATTAATAACATAACATATTATTTATTCACCTTTGTAATTGTAAACGATAATAAAGACATGCTATGATTACAAAATAGATATCTGAAAACAAATAAAGTATAAAAATCATAGAAAATTAAAGCTTACAGAAAAATTGTAATCCTATGTGGAATAAAGAAATGATAATATAAATAAATAAAATGTGCGAACCTGTATTAAATCCAACAATAATATCTTCGATTCCATCTTTATTAACATCAAAGCTTCTCAGAGGAACTACTGAAGAAAATTTTGATATTCGTCTTGACCATATAATCTTTGATGATAATGATGTACATGGAATTACATGCATTTTGCTTATTGAAGGCTCTAATTCATGTGATATCAATTTTTTAAGCATAGTAAATGTTAATGGAAATATATTAGCAGTGGATATACAAAGGATAATTAAACCTAATAAAAGTACCAATGCTATCAACACATAACAAATGGATATAAAAAGCGTTTTATAAGGGAATCTATTGGCCCCAACTTTATAAAATTTTCTATATTTTTTACGTGGTGCCATAAGTGGCCTTTTAACTACACCATCCTCATCTAATTTTAATCCTCCATTTTTTCCATCTCTAATAAACACTTCATCATCGATATCAGTTAAATCATCTTCATCTTGGCATTCTTGCAGCCTAAATTTTGGTAATGCAGGGTATACTTCCATCATTTTTTATAGTCATAGAATCATATCACATTACAATTCAATCTAATATATGTAATTAATTTTAATAATTACTGAATATTATTATAAACCATAATTGTGATACATAATAAACTCTGTTATTGTTTTAGATATATATAAATCAAATAAAATATATTCTCATAGGATGATAGAGTTGTAAACAGCAATTTCTCTAAACCCATACAAAAAAATCAATGGGATGACTTAACTTGCATATAGTGGAAACCTTCCACTACTTGAATCTTCTAAACACACACTTTAATTATTTATTATAAATTAATATCCCTCGTAGTTAACCATATTTAAATATTAGTTGAAAGTTACTAATTAAAATGATTGACCAAGTTTGCATAACTATTTGCAATGCAAGTATTACTAGAACTATATTTTACCGACTTTCATCTAATTTAGCCAGAAATAACAAATAATACAGACAGAAGAACATAGAAGCTCACATGTCCCCTTTTCGCGTAACCACATTCATCTTAGTTACTAACCTGACCATCAATGGGCGATAGAAGATATTTAATGCGATGACGGTACAATACTATAAAAGAATGCAATATTCTTTGATAGTATATGATAGTATATTATGATATATACTTTGATATAGTATATATAGTATAGTTATATTGTAATATAGAATTTTATATAATTATATTTCAGAATATATTTCAGAAATATATTTCAGAAATGCATTTATATTTATATATATATATATATATATTTTAAAATGAACCAATATTTAAGACACTCTCAA